TCTCCCTCAGCACAAGTTTACTATGCTTTCGAAAATGGAATGCTGTCGCCCTAATTTTCCGTTGCTAAGTGATTGATGGGGTATAGTCAGAGGAGTTTCGGCTGCCAAACTGTCTGTGAAGTGGTAGGAATTTCGCAAATTTTATGTAAATGTCACAGTGTGTGCAGCAATTTGCCAAAAAAAAATTGTAGGATGCGGCATGCCAAAGCGAATGAGAGCGGAATAAGATAAAAAACTGGAGCTAACTCTGTTGAGGATTGATGATCTGCTATTCAGGACCAAGAGCTAACAAATATTTCTAAAACTTTTAATTTTAGTATCGCCGATGAGGAATTGAGCATACTCGGCGGTCATCAATAAAGAGTTCCATGCGAAACAGGAACATCTATCGCATGACTACTTAAAGACAGATACGTAAACTAAGATATTTGCCTACTAGTTCAATCCAATCAGTCTTTGGCCGCTAGCTCACTTAATAAGTGCAGCTTTATTTCTGAAGATCGATCAGCCTCGCAGCAAACTCATTATAAAACACCCATTTACGAAGCTCCGGAGCTCTTGAAGTACTCACTGTATAGCAATTTTCACATACATAAGCAATCCTTAACACCAAGAAAGCTGCCGCAAAATGTTTGGAATCTAAATTCAAATTCATTTGCGAAGAATGTGTGTAGAAGCGTTGGCGAAAGTATGTCAACGCGACACTCCCCGCACGAAAGTAGCATATCCTCGTAACTAGACCAATCACCCACACCCAAAAACCCAACCCAAACACTCGTCCACGCATGTAACGCACGCTATCATACATTTTTCATGCTACTTCATGGTGAAGTTGTGAGGAGTCGGTGTCGGTTGTAGCTGTTGAGTGGATTGCGGTTGTGAATTTGAATTGCTGAACGAATGAATGGCCGAATGAATGAATGAATTTCTTCTGTTGGGTGTTAACTGACACGCGCCGGTTGCCAAAATTCTTGTGTCTGTTTTGTTTGTCGGCTCGCGTGCTTTTTCCTCTACCACTCGTGCAGTCTATGTACTCGTATTTGTGTGCTCTTGTGTGTTGGGGTGTTGAGCATTAAGCTACCCTTTCCTTTTGGCCTGCTCTGTCAATCAGTCAGTGCGCCCTAGTGTTGAGTCACCACACTCACACTCCATTATATTGTACAAATGCGTACATCGTGCGGCATCGCACCCCGTGAAAAATATTTCGCAATCCGATACGATTGTTTACAATTCTGTTTATGGGGCGATTTTAATTTTTGTAAATATCGCTTCCGTTTATTGGATTTGTTTAACGGTTGTACATACACGTACATATGTATATACTCGTATTATTGGCCTTAGCGTCGATATATGAAATTTGTTGCCTGGATTTGTGTCTGGCGCTAGTTTGGATGTTTATAGGTCCATAAATCATTGATTATCGTCCAACGGCGAGCGTAGAAGACACATACATATATGTATGTACGAGTATATACTACTTAATTATAGGATGTGTACGTAAATATGTTTCGGAAATCAGATAATTCGGTATATTTTGATTGGCGCTGAATGCGAATTAAATTGGATCGTCGGTTAAATGGGAAATGGCATAATTTTGAATCGATTAATTGGAAGTATTTTCAAACAGTATTTATGTACTGATGTAGATATCAAAGCGAATAATATGCATATACATATGCAAATCTATTAAGAGGTTTGATTGAGCTGATTTAATGGAGCTTTAAAAGTAAGATCTTCCATCCCCGACTGCGAAAAATCCGAGTGGAGCTTGTCGAACAAGAAGAACAATAAAGTCTATGCATCAGCTTCTTTCGGAAAATTTGCGGCTGAATACAAGACTGCGTTGTAAAATAGGAGATCTCACAAGCTACGACAATCACCGTGCGATAAATCTCCTCTATAAGGCACCTGCGAGCGTATTATGATAGAAACTAAATCCCATCGCTAACGAATTGATCGGACGGCACTATACTATGCTATGTAGAGATAGCAAAATTTCCTATAAGACCGCCCAACCACTGGTATATGCCGATGACATTATCGTTATCTGCTTCAATAGCTGCGCCGTTAGCACTGCTTTCTGCGAAAAGTATAAGGAAGCGTAGCGAATGGGTCTGGTAGTTAACGAGGACAAGACGAAATACTTCTCACGTCACTGTTACAACTTTAAAGTTGTAGATAATTCTATCTATCCAATTGTCTTCAAGTCCACTATCTCTGAATACGATTGGAGACCGTTCAACGGCGGTCACAGCTATCCATATTTCAGAGGGCTGTACGAAGTCTCAAATATTTGGAAGAGCGTTCAATGAAATATACAAGTTTATAAAATGCTTAATTTATAATCCTCTTTTTATAAAAGAACACTTAGCTTGGAAATTCGCAACGTTCGTGCAAGCGTTTGCTCCTTCGAGTTCTTTTAGTGGCTTGACCTCGACCTCGACCTTGCCTAGAAACAGACAAAGTTAGTCAATGTCAACAGGTGATTAGTACTGCCCGGGGACTCTTAGCATGAACGACTGATGGATCAAACCCCATCCTAAGCCACACTTCATTCAGACCTCAAATGTAGGCATTCGATGAGAAAAATGATTTACCTGGAGTGGACCCAGAATAGAAAATTAAATTTATTTTTAAATCGTTCGATTTGCACGAAATTCTGTTTCTCTGGATACACTTATGGAACACTATTTCTTCCGGACAGTAAACTTATGATGTGCAAACTATTCATTGCCAGAAGGGGATCAGTGATCGAGCTGTTTGAAAAAATCGGGTGAACCTAACAACCTTACTAGAATTATCTCTAAGTTTCGCGGGTCAACTCTTGTATTAAAATGCGGAAACTTTAATTTTTATTAATTTGAAATTAATTTAATTAAAAAAAAATTTTTTTTTTCAAGGCAAAGAAGTTGGAATTTTTCTGGAAGCACGAAAAAACGAAACACGTTTAGGGGTGTCACTTGTCATAACTTAATCGGAAGGTAGCATAAAATTCGTTTTCACAATGTGCGGTTATGGCGCATTTGTCAATTAAATTGTGATTATCTTAAAGCCAACTTCGAGTGGCGGTTAGTTCTTAACCGGGAGATAATTTGACAGCTGCAAATAATAAAATAACAAATAAAATAGTAAATCGGTGTTGGCTTTAAAATAAATTTAATTATGAAAAATATGGAATGCATTGCCCATCTCGCTGCATTACTTCAAAAGCGTATTTGCAGGGAAGAGCCGAACTGAAAAGTTTGTGGAAAAAGTGTACTTAGAGTAAATAAATTTTGTTGTTAATTTATTTGATTTTTTAAGAATAAAGCAGCGCTAATTTTGCTCTTAACATTACGCTTTTATGCATCGGGACATTTTTAATTTGTTTTACTGGTTTGTGCGGAATAAAAGTGGCGACTGCCAGTCGGGTGTTAAATAATGTCCATTGCTGTAGCAGCTTGTTCAATCATTCATCAGAATGCCGAATAAAGCAGGCTGTTTTCTTTAATATTGTCACCCAGAACAATGACTATAATCATGATGAAGTAGAAGTTCAAGTGCATGAAGTAGCAGAAGCACCTGTTGGTGCCGACGTAAGCAAAGCTGAAGTGCAAACAAACGCTATTGTAATATCCAGTCAGACATTATGTTGCTGGTTATTTGTATAAAAAACCATAAAAAAACCAAAAGAATTCATTTAACTATTACTGTTTTTTTCAGGCTATAGCCAAATATATATTATGCTCTGTACATGTTCTTGCAAGCATCAAAGTATTTTTCCCAATAAAAATATATCAAATGGACTTCATTAAATTATAATTTTATTTATATTTATTTTCCAAAAAAAAAAAAAGAAAAAAATGAAACAGAAAACAAAATTGTATCAGATTTCATGGAGAACGTATATTAATTAATTAATTCACCGCAACAAAATTTTTCAAATTGGTTCACAGTTCTTCCCCCTTCTTATTATTATACGTTCTTTGATTTTACTTTTTTGTTATCAATTTCATTTTTGAAAACAAAATAAATTTACCACTTTCTAAAGTTGAAAAAATATTTTACAAAAAATTAAAAAAATATATTGACAAAAAACTCAAAAACTTTGCATTGTATTTTCTGAAACTAATGGAAATAAAATTATTTTCAGGCGACTTAGCATTTTTTTTATACAAAAATACAATATTTTTAATGTGGCAAAATCTTGAAGTTAAAACGAAAATCTTTTTCTGTCAATTTTGTATTGAGTGAAACTTCCATCCTTTTTTTTGGTACCATGATAAAGTTTATATCACCATATAAATTAATGAACCTGTTGCCTTGCCTGTCCAAAATTTTCGAAAAATAACTTCTACACATCAATTTGGATTTCCCGAAAAACATGCTTCCGATGTCGAAGCAGTTCCAGTAATTGAATACTGATTTTAAAAAAAAAATGTTGGTAACTATTCGAAAATTCTTTGGAACAAAATACTTTGTTTACACCTTCTCATTTTTTCCTACAGTGCCAAATTAATAGTACAGCTTGCAACACTATCTAACGAATGCTGCACAAAGAGAATAACATAAACAAGAACAAGCATAAAACGGACAAACGAAAACAAAACAGAAGCACCATTTTGAATGCAAAAAACGAGCGAATACTCAACTGAGAATGAATGAGTGAGAATACAACGCGCTCTCTTTCTTTTCATCTTTCAAAAGTGAGTGGAATGCCTTTCCAAGATTTTGTTGGAGTGCTTCGCATCAGAGATGCATTTGGGAAAATAGTAACTTTTTGAAAAAGCATTGAATCCGTTTAGAATTGATAAGAAATAATCAAAGTTTAACAAAAAATATATTGAAATATTCAAAGTGTTTAACTCAAATAATAATTTATCTCATTCTCTTTTATTTGAATTATGTATTATGGTTTCAACTATATTGTTCAACGCAGCAACCCTATTTTTCCACTCAGATTCGCCAGCAGCTGCCAGCGGCGATAGTCAGCGCAGGCTTTGCTGCTTTCTGGCGGGGCAGTTTTGAGTGAATTGTACTCGTGTACGGTTATGTGAAATTTTGTCGGCGCTGATTTCGAGTAAGTTGTTTTTTGTGTAAAATTGTTGTTCTGTAAATAAATACCGAAAAGTGTATTGGGTAAAAATATTTACCTGCGAATGGTGTAGGTACAATAAGAAAAAAGAAATATGGTGAATAATAATAGCACGTTTATGTTTGTTATTAGTGAGTTTTAATGCGAATCCAGCTAAAAACAATTAATGAAATCAATTCGCCTGCAGTGTGTAAGGAAACCAAAGTTCGTCTGTGTATTGTTAAGCATTTTTAAATGAATTATTAAATACACAAACACAAGTGCCAGTGGTGAACAAACCTTAAGTATAAACAAGGTTAAAACGAGAATACATGAATTTAACAAAATGTGTTACTTTTGCGAATAAAAAAATGGAAAGCAACTTGAAGATAATGCTGAGGTGAGCAAACAAAACGAAGTGAATTGGTTTTGTGTGTTTATAAAAGTGTTTTGAAGCGTTTAAAATGCAATCATATAAATTTAACAAAGTGTCGATGAGCACTGTGTGTGTATAATGTGTATAAAACGTAGTGAAAGTTGAGCAAAAAATATGGTTTTTTGTAGTGCGGCAAAGTATACAGAGCTTGTAGTAGTGTAGTTAAATAGAAGCAACAATAAACCACGATAAAAAAATTGTATTACATTGATCAACAAGAAATACACAAAACGGAAATAAAAATCGTTCGTTTGTGTAAATTTCAAAGCAATAATATTTTGGAATAAATCAGTTATTTTTGTTTTGGCGCAAAAAGGAGTATTTCAAGGATATTAACATAACAATAGTATTTATTGAACAAGGTGAGTTTGTATGTTTGTATGTGAAAACAATTGGGTACTCGTAAAAATGCCAGGTAGTTACACCTCGAAAATCTCAGCAAAACAAGCTGTATAGAAAATGGATAAAAATAATCTTGAAACTGCCTGAAGGAGCCTGTTTTCTTGTATAGCTTGCACGGCTGACAAAACGTGCTACTTTTGTACATTGTGGCAGCTGCTCGTCCCTGGCAGTCAGTACTTGTTCTTCCTTCTTTTTTTGCTTTATAGCTGGAAAAGGGCGTTTTTTGCAATACATCCCCATTTTGTTTGTTTTTTTTTTTTCAACTTTGTTGATGATTTTTTTTTTATTTTGCTCTACGCTTGATTCTTGTTTTCGATGGCTCCCAATTCTGTGCTTATATTCTATACCACTCATCTTAATTGAGCTTCCAATGGAGTGAAAACTCTTTTGCAGTCGCTCAAAAGAATATTTGTACAATGCGTTTCATTCAAGGGTGTACACTGTGCTGAGTTTTTATAATTGGGATGTTTTTTTTTTTAATTTTATGGAAATAGTTTTATCCTGTGCGAATTGGGTATTGTATAAAAAATAAAACTTAAAAGGTATTAACTTCCTCCTTTTTTTTAGTCTTTTTCATAATGAGTAAAATTTTCATCATCCTACACGCAGTTTTATGGGTTTCTTCAAAAAATTTTAAAAACACAATAAACAATAACATAACAAAAAAAGAAGCCAAATTGGAATTTAAATTAAGAAAGATAGTTTGAAAATTGCTTAAAGTTCTCGTCAGTTAGTATTATAAAAATTCAAAAGTTAAATAAAAAAAACTTGTTTCTAATTTTTATGTTTAATTACTGCTTTCTTTGATGAAAAATATGAATATATGTACATACAAACTTTATTTAAATATTGCTTATTATTTTTAACTGAATTTATGTATACCTGTTAGGATTTTATGTAACTTATTATAATGTTTTAAAGTAAAAAAAAACATTTGTTTAAACCAACATAATTTCTGACAAATTTTAAATATTTGCAGAAAAATAAAAAAAAAATACTGTTATTAATACTTCTTTTGTAAAGTTTAAAAATTTTTTTTTTTTCAGTTAAATAAAATTAAAAATAAAAAAGCTATAAAATCAATACTGTTTTAAAATTTTAATTTCATATTGTTTATGGTCATAAAGAATAGCGTTGATATTTTATGAAATATACAAGTTTGTGTTATTTTTTATTGAAAATTACAAATTATTTACTTTTTTTCAAAAAAAAAAAAATAAATAATAATAATAAATATATATATAAATTAAAAAGTAATACTTAAACCTCCATACTTTATTGAGAAACTTTTAAAATATTAGCAATTACATTTTTAACACTTTCCACTGTAAATATTATGTACAAACATATACTAAAATTTAACAATTTCTTTTTATTTTCAAAAAGTTGCCATAAAAATATTCAAAAATAATTAATGTGCATCAAATAGTCTAATATTATATTTAATGTTATGCGCCAATAATCGATTTTTTAAAAGTCAAAAAACTTAAAATATGCAAGCATACTTAATTAGGTACATTCGTATGTATGTATGTGTGTAAATTGCACGCTTCGTTTGACCTTTATTTGATTTTTTTTGCTTTTTCACCGCCATGCCACAGTACCTATATATTTTTTTTGCGCCTGCACTTTCTCTGCACGTCGCTGCTGCTGCTTGCTGGCTGCCGCAATAGAAAATACCAGCAATGCGCTAAAGTAAATATAAACAAGCGCCGCAATTCATGCGCATACAATGCATAAAACAAAACAATAACAAATATATATGTATGTTGTATAAAGTGTGAAAAATAAGCGCCAAAAGAAAGCTACAGAAGAATCACATACATACATATGTATGTATCTACAAACACACAAATGCATGCATGCATGCTCATAATTACATCAAACAAAGCGTAAATTGTTTAAATAAGCCAAGGAGAAAAAAGCAACAAAACGTTGTTGCAAAAGCTTCGACGAAATCAATTTATTGTAAATACAATAAAAAATAATAATAAAACTTTTTCTTTTTAATTTGTTGATGCTCTTCCTTATAAACGTATTTTTGGCGCTACTAAAAAGGGAAAATAAAAGTCAGCAATAAAAATACGGAAAAAATAAATAAATAAATAAATAAATAAAAAATAAAAAATAAAACTAAAATTCAAACGGTCAGTCATTCAGTCAATCGGTGAATGAACGGCTTGTTTATTTCTTTATTTTGATTTTTTTTTGTTGTACTTACTTTCTTCATTTATTTTTGCCACACTGTTGCTATTTTTTTCTTCTCTCTTATCACGTCCAAATGTTGGCCTTTCGTACTTTTGCAACTTATTTATTTATTTTAATTTTCTGTTATTCTATTTTCTTATTTTATTGCTGTTTTTTTTCATGGCTCTATGGTGCTTTACTTGCCCCAACCTTTCGTAATGCATTTCAAATATCTACTTACTCTATTTATTTTAAATACCCGGTTGGAAATCTTACTGCCTGAGAGATTAATGGGTCGTGTTAATGGGTTATCTGCAGGCATTGACCACAACACAGTCGCTGCTTCCCTATGGCTTGCCTCATGTATTCTACAAGCTTGGAACTATAATAAGAGTAATAAAGTTGTTGTTACTATATTTCTTATGTATGTATGTACATATGTATATACATATATGAAATACAGTGGCTAAGGATTCACAGAAATTAGTAGCGTTTAGCACGTAAAATTTGAGATCATGCGACCTGCTCGATTTTCGTCTGTGAAAATTTTCCAAAAAAAAGTTTGCACATAAAACAAATACCGAAGAAAACAGTTATCGGAAGTTCATTTCTTTTTAATGTTTTACAGAATGTTTTCACATGGAAAAAATAGAGATGAAAACCACTAATAATTTTTTAGGGTGATTGAGGATCTGTGTGAAAAAGTAGTTGCACAATTTTATCAGAGAAGATTTTGAAATGTTTTCACGTGAGAAATGAATTGACATGAGAAATGAATTGACATGAAAAATGTTTTGACATAAAAAATGGTTTGACATAAAAAATGTTTTGAGATAAAAAATGTTTTGACATAAAAAATGTTTTGACATGCATAATGTGTTCACATGAACTATGTTTTGACATGAACAATGTTTTTGCATGCATAATGTTTTTGCATGCATAATGTTTTGACATGAAAAATGTTTGGACATGCGTAATGTTTTGACATGAAAAATATTTTCAGTTCAAAAGTGTTTTCACATAAAGAAATTAATTTCAAGCAAAAGACGGTTCCCTGTGAGAAAAATAAAACTTAATTTTTACATAACACAAATGATCCTGCATAAATTCAGCAAATTTGCCGCAAATTCTAAAATACATATGCGTACATACATGCATACATAGATATATATGTGGGCACGTGTAAATTTCGTTTGTGTGTGAAAATCAACAAATCTTTCCCACTGTGTACCCTTTATATAGCTAAAATCATTCAATTGTGGTCAAATGAAATGATATTTACCTACGTAAGCATGTATGTACATACATACTATTGGGTGCACTTAAATTGAGTTCGATTGAATGTAATTCATTTTTATTTATTTTTATACTTAAATATGCACACACACAAAAATATGTACGAGTATATATATATATATATGAACTCCTCACCATCGAAGTGTCGCATTTGGATTGCTGTTACAAAGTGCAAAAGTGCATTGGGGCGATAAATTATTCAGTGACTGTTGATTGTGGCAAACCGCTGGGAATATTTCCAGCAACCGATGGTCAGTAAATAAAAAATAAAGAAAATGTTTTAATATAAATTAAAGTAAATATGTAATAAAAAATAAAAATAAATTGATACATAATATGCACAAAATGACTCAGATTGTCTTGAAATAACTTAAGTTGGAGTTAAATGAAGAAATGAGAATATTTGCAATTTTTTTCTCTACTTATTTACATACATACATACATACATACATACACGTATGTATGTACATTCACAAATATATAACATATATATGTTCACAAAAATTGATTATATGTATGTTCGAGTTATTTATGTATGTATGGTTGTATGCGCATTTCATATTTGGTATTTTGCACAATATATAAATATGTGAATTAGAAGACCAAAAAAGAAAAAAAGAATAAAAAAATGTAATAATTGAGAAAATCTGTAGAATTATTGCCAAATATATAATGATATGAAATTAGTAGCTCACGCCATGCAAGTTGCTTGCACAATATACCAAATGCTTGGTTGTTGAAAAATGGGTGTTTTGCTACGAGCAACATTTTTGAACCGTGACTAGTTTTAATCAATAAATTCTTATAATTACCAATATGCGGACTGTGATTTTTATGTATAATACCAAATTTCATATTTTTATGTCTTCAAATATTGGAGTTTTGCTGTAAAAACAGGTTTTCGAACAACGTTTTGTATGGCGGCTAAAGGTTATACTCGACCGATTTCGATAATATTCACTCTGTGTATTTTTACCATGATTTCTATGTAGAGTGCCAAATTACATATTCTCAATCGTTGATATGTGCAAGTTATTACTCAAATGGGCATTTTTGAATAATCAGTTCTATGACAGACATATTTTGTGGACATTCGATTTCACCAATTTTCGTTTTCCATACTACATTTATAATATAAGAGCTGAGCATAAAATTTCAATTTTTTTACTACGGTAATAAGACTGTTTTGACAAAAAAACTCATTTTGGAATAATCAGTTATATGACAGCTGATTGCTATAGTCGCCTGATTCGGTCGGTTTCGACACAGGATTACTATATAATAAAAACACATTCGTACACAAAATTTCATTCCGATATCTTAGAAATTGCGTAATTGGCTTCGTCTTAAATAAAAAAATTAAAAATAAAAAAATAAGAAGAATTTAAACAGCAGTTATTGGCGAACACTAGTGAAAATACAGTTAAAACTAAAAATACTAAATGACACAAAAATAAATAATATAATAATATTATAT